ATTATCATTTTAAGGTTAAAATAAACAATTTATGTGAAAATACATTGTCTCTTTTTTTTTTTTTAGATAATTTAACAACACTTGGCTTTTATAGGATCATCAACTAGTCTACTGTTGATTTCGACAAAAAGTTTTAACTCAGTGAGTAAAATTATAGGCGACTCCATGACCTAAGTTATATTTCTCTTTTATTTGAACAGCAGAGGGCTAAACACATGCCAGTTGGGTAACTGCCTGGTAGATTTGAAAAGATGGAATAAACACACTAAGAAGTATGATCATGTGCCAGAACTACAAAACTTTTCTAGAATCATCTAGAAATGATCAAGTATCAGAAAGGGTAGAAGAAATTTCTTAGGAGAAAAAAAGATTGGAAAGAAGTAGTAGAGTTATTAAATTTCTTTCTACATGTGTTTGACTGCTCAGTTAAGCCTGCTTATTAGTTTAGTCCCACTAGGGACTGCTGCCATAAAAATCTTGCATTATTGAATATACGTTTTTATTAAGAATGTGAGTAATTTTTATAGTGGTTACTATATCCTTAAATCCATTAATCTATCTTCCACTCAACTATGCTTTTAAAAGGATCTATTTTCTTTCAAAACTGAGTCTTTATAGTCTTACCATCTGGCTTTTATTGAATTATTATGGAATTTGGTAGGGAATGCTCACCGATAAGCTACTAATCTCTCATATAATAATTATTCCTCCAGGAATTTGTTCATTACACTTTACCTATTGCTGGGTATTAGAGTATAAAAGTATATCGAGATTTTTTTTTTTTTTTTGGAGAGGTTTTTGCTATAGGGCACGTGCGCTCACCAGAAAGACAGAGAGAGAGAGACATAGAGACAGAAAGCGAGAAATCACCCCCCAGGGGGGATGGTCACACTGCAATCCCTTCTCCTCCATTCTCCTTTCAGGATCTTGGGCACGCACACACACGTGCCCGGCGTGAGTTTTAAGCCACCGGGTCCGGGACGCGAACCACGGTCGACTATGTGGGAGTCCAGTGACATAGCCATTACGCTAACTGCTGGTTCCCAAGATTTTGATAGTAATTTGTAAATTTCTAAATTAGAAACTGAAGACTGGAATTTCTCTTACCTTGTACTGAAATGATTAAGCAATACCCCTCAAAACAGAAAGGCTGAGTGTTCAATCACATTCTTAAAATCTAAGCTCATATCATCCATTTCAACATAATCAAATTCTTCAATAAGTGGGCAGACTGAAAACTGACTTAATAATTCTTTGTAGACTTCTAGTGACTTTTTTTCCTTCTAGCCACAAAGAACTCTTTTAATTATTGACTTCTACAAATTCTCCTTTGTCTACTACTGTTTGGAATTTACCACAGAGAATTCTCTGTTTAATTGCATTTCTGTTATGGCCAAAAGTAAAGATTTATCATTGGTAAGCCTGAAATCTGCAGGTACTTTTGCTTCAAAAACAGATTCTTTAGTATTTGATTGGTCATATATTTGGGATACAAGTACTATATACAATACAATTTAAAATATAATTACTGGGAATCAGCAGTTAGCGTAATGGCTATGTCACTGGACTCCCACGTAGTCAACCGAAGTTCGCGTCTCGGACCCGGTGGCTTAAAACTCTCTCCAGGTGTGTGTGCATGCGTGCCCAAGATCCCGAGAGGAGAATGGAGGAGAAGGGATTGTGGCGTGACCATCCCCCCGGGGGTGATTTCTCGCTTTCTGTCTCTATGGCTCTCTCTGTCTGTCTGGCGAGCGCACGTGCCCTATAGCGAAAACCTCTCCAAAAATAAATAAAAATAAAAATAAAATAAAATGTAATTATTGTAATTCTTATGATATTATAATTATAAAACACAAATTATAATTAAGAGTAGGTATGATATGTACTACTGGGCTGTTGTCAATACTACATATGGAATATAATACATGAGCAACAAAATTTTAGGAAAAAACAGGACACAAACACATCATTCTATTTAATTTCTATCAGGCGTTCTCTGAGAACTTACTTTTGTTCATAGCAATTTAGTAGATAGTACGATATAGGGTAGAAGTGGGTTTCAAACAAAGACTATGATTCACTTCTATCTTGGGGAATTTATACTCTGATTACAAAAATAAAATATGGACATATGAAGGAGCAAGAAAATAATATATGGCTATCAATCGTCAGGGGCTAAACAAGTGCTAGAGGTCTAGAAAGGTGGGATAGAGTCTGGACAGGGTTATTATTGATGTCCTTCACTAATAAAGCTGCTCTTCATTGAGTATGTACTGTCAGGGGTTTCATAATTTTCTAAAATTAAGAAATAATAATAGCACTAAAGATTGGGCCTAAACTATTCACTAGAATTGTTTCTCTTTCTTGGAGTTCAGTAATTCATCCACCCAAGTAACCATCTACAATCCACTTGTCAATACAATATATCTTTGGTTTGCTAATTCCATTTTCTTATAAAATCTTGTTTATTCTACCCTAGGAGTATTGTACATTATGTTAACTATCATGAAATAATATACCTTAAGAGGAAACAAATCATAGATATCATGCAAACATTCTCTTTTTTTTTTTTTTTTTTAAGTGAGTTTTTATGCTATAGGGCACTAGCACTCATTGGAAAAACAGAGAGTCAGAGAGACTGAATACGAGAAATGACCTCCTGGAGTATGGCCATGCCTCCATCTCTTTTCCTCCATTTTCCTCTTGGGATCTTGGGTACACACACACATGAGCCTGGTGTGAGTTTTAAGTCACCAAGTCCAGGACTCAAAACGATGTTGACTACATGGGAATCCAACGAAATAATCATTACACCATCTTCTGGTCCCCATCATGCAAACATTCTTAAAAGTCTCTTATAGTAACTGAAAATAAGAAAGTCTTCCATAGTTTTTATACTCTTTCCAAGTATCTAATCCAGAGTTAATTTTGTTTCTTAATTTTGCCAGAGGGCGTGTGTGCTCACCAGAGAGAGAGAGGGAGAGAGAGAGAAAGGAGTAGGAGGAGCAAGAAAGCACCTCCTCTGTGGGGGAATGGTCATTCCACAATCCCTTCTCCTCCATCTCTCTCTCTTGTTGGGATTTTGGCACATATGTACAAATGCCTGATATATTTCTCAAGATGTCAGATCTGAGATTAAAACTACCAAGTTGTTCCAATGTGATCCAGCAGCCTTAACTATCACACCATGAGCTGGATTGAAGCAAAAAAATTTTGAAGATATTTTTAAGGCTAAGGGTTAAATTTACTGTAGTACCCATCTACTGATTGAAGTCTGAAAAAATTCCTATATACACAGCATTTCACCTCTATTGTTAACACAAAAAGAAATGCCACAATATAGCAAAGTCCCCAAGTAAATCACTCTACCACTCTCCACCTGTTTCCTGGTGTATAAAGTCAATAGGCTACACTAGAACAGCTAATTAAAAATGTACTTTTTTTTTTGGCTTCATTTTTTCCCTTCTCCTCCCACCTTCCATTTTAATGAAAGAAAGATGTTTTTGACAGAGTCTGTGCCATGATTCTCCTGCCCCAGCTCCCCAATTAGCTAGACTTACAGGCCCACACCTGACATATTTAGGTTGGCCTGGAAACCAAACCTAGGCCTCCCATATGGCCTCCAGCCTCCCAAATGATGGTGCTACCTTGCGCCACCATACCTGGGCCAGAACTATGCTCTCTGAGGATGACTGAAAGGTAGGAGCATCTGCCAGTTCATGTACTCTCCCCCATTCAATCAGCTTGGGTCTTTTCTAATATTATATATTTACTTGACTTGGTATAAGATTTCACTTGTACAAGGGATCTTTAGCTTTAAAAGACTTTGAGAACCTCCAGATCTTTCTAAAGTTCTATACTGCTGGTTAACCCAACAGAGTTAGGAAAGTAGAAGACAATGTGATTCATAATTATCTTGATTATTCTGTTACATGGGGGAGATATGTAGATTAGAAGACCTGGAATTTTTTATAAGAATAAAATTCCTTACTAATTATAGAATGACTCAGATTAGAAAATGCTGCTAATTAGCTGTGAATGTATAGTGTTAAAATAAAAGTCTGTGTACACTATTCTTTTTTGTGGTAATGAGTGAAGGGAATATGATTTCTTGCCAATTAGAAGTCTCTCAGCCTTAAATTCTGTATTGCATAATGAAAAATATATATTCTTAGATTGATTCATTACTTAAGTAACTATTAGTAATTAAAGGGTAAGCTTCACATTAATAATAACAGAAACCTAATTTTAAACTATTTACATCTAACCCAAATTAGAGGCTTATGTCAATTTCCTGTGTATAATAGTCACAAATTTTGAATGGATTCATAGTTGCTTATATAAATGAAAGTCATTTACAATCTTACTTTTTTTTTTTTTCATTTTGCTTTTTACATTGCCAGAGGACACATGTGCTCTTCAAAGAGAGAGGGAGAAGGGGAGAAAGCATGCCTCAATGGGGTGTGGTCACAATGCAATCCCAACTCCTCCATTTCTCCATTCTGTTGGGATTTGAGGCATACATGTACACACCCCCACATGTTTTTCAAGCTGCCAGAGTCAGGACTCAAATCATACAGTTGGTCATGTAGGGCCTGGTTCTTTTAACTACTAATTTTTTATAACTAATTCTCACTACTAAACTATTTATGCCACAAACCATGTGATGATGATACTACTATTTGCATTTTAAAATGCATTTAAAAAACAAAGCAGCCTCATTCCCGGAGCTTACTTCTTAGAGATAACAGAAGCATATCACCTAGTTCTTCTAGAATATACTTACCTCTGACAATCACCTACGAGATAATAAACTAACCAATCACATGTTTCAGCTCCTTTAAAGAGGCCCTTGTCTACTATCCATCTATTCCATCTATTCATCCATTCTACCTGTCATCCATCCCTTTACCCAACTTTTCCCCTGGAAAATAGAAAAGGATTTTTTTTTATTATTATTATTGGCTCAATAACATGGTTTCCCTTGCTTATTCACTTACTGGTGCGGAGTTCCCGTTTGGCCCTCTTGATCGAACCATCCTTCCTAGAACTTCTACTCCGTCTGAGGTGATGTTAGCAGATGCATTTATTGCCTTCTCTCCTACTTGCTTGCAGTCAATAACTACTTTGGCCAAAGTCTTGCTGACAATGATATGTAGCTAGACAAAAACAAAGATGTTTTAAGGAGTAAGAAACAGAAGGAAATATTAAACCGAATTTATGTAATTGTATGACTCATCATTAAGTAGTATGAACACATGTCACCGTGTGTTTGCTAGAGGAGAGAATTTCTACTTTGACCATCTCGGCGACTGTCTCACATCCAGGTATCAGCTCTATTTTTATTTAAGTAATAACTTTCCTTGAGAATGATAGAAAGGATTCCATTTTTAAACCTATTTTTCCTCTAAAGCTATGCCATCTTTGAAATGGTGGGATTGTTGTATAAAAGGGTAGGATTGTTGTACTAGGCACATTAAATGAATTGTTGTACTAGGCACATTTCTGAATGCACATTAAAACAAACAACATTTTAAAAGGATAAAAAAAATCATAAATTCAACATTATAAAAAGTTAAAAGTGCTTGTTGATTTACCACCAAAAACTGTCTAATGTATGCTCAGTGGTTGACATACTACAATTTTATAATACTAAATTAATTTCAGAGGAGTGGAGATCTAGAAGCCGAGGGAGAACAAGAAATGCTTTCTGGGGACCAGCAGTTAGTATAATGGCTGTCTCTGAACTCCCATGTAGTCGAATATGGTTTGAGTCCGGACCCAGCGGCTTAAACTCATGCTGGGTGCGTGTGCGTGCATGCCCAAGGTCCCGAGAGAATGGAGGAGAAGGGATTGAGGTGTGGCCACCCCCCAGGGGGTAATTTCTTGCTTTCTGTCTCTCTGTCTCTCTGTCTCTCTCTCTAGCGCACACACGCCCTATAGCAAAAACCTCTCCAAAAAAAAAAGAAATGCTTTCTGATGGCATTAGACCTAAGTGAAATAAAGCCCAAATATAGTGCAGTTTTCTCAAACTAGAATCTGCAGAATCTGGAGGTCTGTGGTCATATTTTCAGGAGCTACACATTCTTTGTGAGGATTGGCAAGAGTTTATCATTTAGACGATTGTCAAAGGTAAGTATGTTCTAGGCGAGCTAGGTGACCATGGTGGGAGCAAGCTCTTCCACACAATTGCAGTGCTTACATGTGCACTTCAGTTGTGATGGTGATGCTTCCTAAGTACTTGTGGCAGGCCAGTGAGCCAAGAACATAATTAACAGGTAAACAATCATCTCATCTCAAGTGGAAGCCAGAAGTTACAAATGTCTGCCTAAGGGATGGTACCATGGTTGTTTAATGAAAAAGGGTATTGGGTAATATACATCTCAGCTGTGAGAATTGTATGTGTGCATTGGAAAGAGGTTGTAAGTAAGTGAAATGATGCTATCTTTCATTTTGAAACAGTATTACTTTTAATTTTTTAAAATTTTGCCAGATTGCTTGTGTGCCCACAGAAGACAGAAAGAGAAAATAAGAAAGCATTCCCATGGAGAGTGGTCTCACTGCAATTCCTTCTCTTCCATCTACGCTTCTTTCAGGATTTTGGGCATGCACATGCACCTGGTATGTTTCTCAAGCCACTGAGTCTAGGACTCACACCACACAGTTGCCACCTTCACCACCACTTCACCAAATGGCCTATTATTTAATTTTACTAGTTTTGTTCTGTTTTTGTTTCATGTTGCACAAGAGCTGGAAGTACGTGAATTTATACCAATTTTTATTAATGTTTTATTTAAATTACATTATGATAAAAATTATTTAAGCAACAGTGGGGCTGTTGAGAATTGTTTTCCTTCAAAATGGAGGTAACTATTACCCAAGTAGAGAAACTGCTACAGTAAACACCACCACATTCCATACTGCTGATAAACATTTCTATTAACATCTCTAATATGACGTAGAAGGATAAAACTTGACTCCTGTGTATTCGGGGCTTTGAAATACTTTGAATTATTATAAATTATAAAAATTTTAGGAACCAGCAGTTAGTGTAATGGCTATGTTGCTGGACTACCATGTAGTCGACCACGGTTCATGTCCCGGACCTGGTGGCTTAAAACTCACGCTGGGCGTGTGTGCGTGCGTGCCCCAAGATCCCGAGAGGAGAATGGAGGAGAAGGGATTGTGGCATGGCCAGCCCCCCTGGGGGGTGATTTCTCGCTTTCTGTCTCTCTGTCTCTCTCTGTCTGTCTGGCGAGCACACGCGCCTTATAGCGAAAACCTCTCAAAAAAAAATTTCATATTGGGTGATAGAAAACTTAGCATATAATATCCATGCCTTAAGAACAGTTAACTTGTGAAAAGATTTTTTTTTACCTCTTAAAACAAAAAGCAAAAACAACAAATCCTATTGCTAAACAAAACTGTTAAAGTTGAAAAGTTTTCAAAAATATTTTGCATCTTGGGTTGTGCTTAATGGTTTATTTATGCCATTATTAACTTTTTGAAAAAAATGTTGGGGTCACACTTCATATCCAATCTGTAAAAAATAAATCCAATTGCAAATCTATGAGAAATCAAGGTAAACTATTTATTCACTTAAAAATATAAATCTACAAACAAATTAAATTTTATCTCTAAAAGTTAAATTTGCTTTGAGATCTTCTATTAGTAGATCTATTATAATGCATTGCACAATAAGCCTTGCCTTTCCTTCTTTTCCTGTTTTGCTGTTTGATTTTGTTAAAACTTACACTGGAGAAAGTCTTTCTTACAACTTCATGAACTTGAGGGTTTATAAATTTAGAACCAATTTTTAAAGAACCTTAATCCTAGGTCTTAGGGTTTTTTTTTTTTTTGTAAAGTAAGTCAAGCTTAGAATTCACCTATGACTTATAAAGGACTCTTTGGAATGAGAACTACAAGTTTGTGTCTAAACCATAGACTAAGATGACAGTGTTTCTTTCAACACTCATGAAATCTCTAATGCTTTCATCTTCACTATAATTTTTCTTGACTGCTTTACAATAAACTCTGCATAACCAGGAGAATAATCATGCCAAGAGGAGCTTAGTAAGTAAATGATGTTAAGCCCAAAGAGCTGCTAATGGGACAATTTTGAACCAAGAACTAATAAAACTCCACCTGTATTTTAGGTGCCTCTCAGTTATCTGTATATTTCAGATAGCATGACTCTATCAAATTAAGTGGAGAGCAGTTTTCTTATACAATCATCTTAGTTATGTGGTATGTAAGTATGACATTCAAAACTACAGAAAGTAGCAAAGTTGTGTAAAGTCAATTGATCTGACCACATTTTAGATCATGAGACTGAAGCCAAGATTAAGATTGCTATGCAACATCCCTTCTCTAACAGGGTGGGAGGCAAGGATTTTTTTTTTCTTTTTTTCAGCACTTGCTATTAAATGCTCTACTCATTTTGTGGTTTAGTTGCTTAATGCCCAGAGATCAGTAAGATTATTCACCAAATACAAAGGAAACAAAAGATGTTAGAAAGAATCTTCATCAATGATGACCAGAAGTGTTTCTGAGAAGTGAATATTAAGGAACAGAGTTCTATCACAAGTGCCAAGTTCTTAGAATAAGGACAAATAAAGTTTGTTCTTTTCAAAATGTTTGCTCAGGGTAACTCATAATGGCAGTGATGGATTGTACTTGTATCCATGTAAAAATATCAGCACAATCTATCTTATAGTTAGTTGTATCTATCTTCAAATTGTAAGACAATTCAGCTGATTGTGCCTTTTTCAGTTCTGGAGGCCGGGTAGACCAGCAGTCTTTTGTACAACATGTATAACATAACAAATAAGCAACTATTCACTTAACATACAAGTAATCTTGACTACATTGTTCCTCAAAGGAAGAATCGTACCACTTCCATCAATAGTTCCTGGCATGCCTGTTAAAAGTGCAGATTTCAGGGTTCATTGTCAGAACCACCAAATCAGAATCTTGGCATTATTAACCAACCCTGCAGGCAATTCCTCCAGTTGAAATATGAGATCCAAAAATCTATGAATTTTTAAATATTTCTCTATTGCTTTGCCCAACAGCAAACAGAATAAAGACTATAGGTATACAAGACATTACTAACCTTGTGAAAGCTTCCATAGAATATTTTCCTAATTTCAGGTCCTTCAAAAGTAACAGTTTGAAACTCCCCACTGTAGTCATAGTTGAAATATGTTAGGGTTTTCCCACCATCTATTCAAACAAAGAAAATGAAAAACATATAGAAAGAATTAAACTGAGCAAATAACTTTTTAAAAGTTCAACTCAAAACCAGAAATAATGCATTCATTGTTTTGAAACCAAAAGTAATGGGTCACACAATGACCTATAGTCCTGGAGTTGCTGCAGGCTTTCGGTTGGCTAGATTAACCAATTTAACCACATGATAATGATGGTGAGGCAAGGACCCCTAGACATTTACTCTGCAATATACACATAACAGGCAAGATGGCATGCCTCAGACTTTACTCATACATGTATGTGCAAATTGATTAAAAATAAATAAATGTACTTACTATCTAAAATAACCCCAACCAATGGGTCAGACTGTTTATTTAAAATCTCCCAAAGAGCAAATGGCTCCTGTGGAGTGTCAGGAAGAATCCGGAATAGAAAACTGATTGTGTAGTCAGAGGGCAATCCTTCAGGATGCAAATATCTGAAAGTAGAAAAAAAATAATGTTTAACTGTATCCCTCCTCAAGATATTATTCCTTTGATTAAAGAGGAAACACACTTTCCTTAGACAAGACTTGGAAGAAATTAAAAGATCACCATTAATTCCAGCCAGATCACTATTTTGGTGTGACAAGTCCCTCTGGTCTTTAAAGAATATGTGTGTTTATCTAATTTTTATCATTTTGTCTCTTTTTTACTTGTCATATTTAATAAACTTGTTTTTATTTCCTTGAAATTGTCTTTGAGAGCTTTTGCTATAGAATGTGTATGTTTACTGGAAAGACAGAGATAGAAAGGAAAAAAAAAATCACTCCTCAGAGGGAATGCTTATAATCCCTTCTCCTCCATTCTCCTCTCAGGATTTTGGGCATGCATGTAAATGCTCCCAGCATGAGTTTCAAGCCACTGGGTCCAGGTATCAAATTATGGTAGACTATGTGGGAATCTAGCACCTCAACCACTATACCACTTACTGGTGCCTTTCCTTAAATATTTTTAAGAGCATAAGATTTAATGGCTGCATAATTTTCTCGTTTAATTATTATTCTATAGTTTATCTAATTAGTCACTTCTCATTAAACTATTAAGTAGTTTCGAATGTTTTAGTGTAGTAAACACTATTTGTTATAATCTCTTTGTAAAACAGGTCTTATGATGTCACTTTCTACTACATGTTGTACAATAGTTACTTGCATTCCCCTATGTGGTGGGTACAGGGATGCACCATCCAGATCCACCCTCGAGAATTAAGAATGTGTTACTCCTGGTCCTGGGATCATTGTCTACAGTCAGCTTTCAGACACCTGCCTCCTTCAGGAGGTGCCCACCCCCCCCTCCTCCCCCACAAAGGTCATTTCCAGGGCACCTCTTTTCAGTGACAGGTCCTTAAGGAAATATTAAACTTGGACTTCTGAGTCCAGTGGGAGACAGCTCTGAAGGGTCCTCCCATTTTCAGAATCTGGATGGCCAGCTCACGCTTTCACTGAGATACAGCCTGACTTCTACCCTCTGCCCTATCCTGCTTCCTGCTGTTTCTCTCCTAGAAAGCTCATCCTCATCAACTTCCCACACACTAATCACCTGAGAATCTGCTTTCTGAGGAACTCACCCTTCTACATAATCTTATCTCTCATTCTAAGACATCGTAATCTTTCCCCAAGCAAAACCGAACAAAAGCCCTTTATACATGGTAGGAACTCCTTTATTGTCATTAATTAAATTACTAAGTGTGAGAATTTGTGGAAATTCAGCATAAGTTTGAAAATAAAAGTTTTGTTTACTTCAGTAAAATTGTTTTAGTCATTCATATATCTATTTATGTATTAGTTAATTTAACAAATAGTAACTGAGTGCTTTGCCTTATATGCCAGACACTGTCACAGGAGTTTAAGAGACATCAGTGAGTAAAACTGACAAAGTTCTCTATCTTTCTTGCATTTAAATTCCATCAGGGTGATTTATGTGGTATGTTAGAAAATAATAAATACATTGAAAAACTAAAAAATAGAGCAACGTAATGCAGATTGTGAATGTCAGACGAAGAGTATATGGTAATTTTAATTAAAATCATCAGAGTTGGCTCACTGAGAAGATTAAATTTGAACAAAGTTTTATTGCACAGTTTTTATTTGAGCAAAAACTCAGAGAAGGCAAGGCAATTAGACATGAGAGTGTTTAAAGGAAGGGCATTTGGGCAGAGGGAATAGCCAGTAAAAAACACCAAGGTGGTTAAGTGTGTGGTGTTTTGGAAAAAAGCAGGGAGGCCAGTGGCTACAGCAGATGGAAGAGAAAGGAGGTGAAGTCATAGAGGTAGCAAACACCCATCTTACTTAACGCTCTGTAGGCCCTTCAGGAATTTTGACTTACTGTAATAGAAATAATAGAAATAGACAATTGTTGGCAGGTTCTAAAATGGTATCTGTGTTTTTTTTTTTTTTTTTTTTTTTTTTTTTTGCCACGGTCCCTTCTCTATTCTCCTCTCAGGATTTTTGGTACACACACACACACACACACACACACACACACACATGTGCCTGGTGTGTTTTTCAAGACACCAGATCTGAGAATTGAATTGTTAACTCAGTCGTGTCAGATCCAGTCACCTTAACACCATTCTGCAGGCTAGCCCCAACAAATATTTTAAATTATTAAGAAAGTCTACTAATTTTGAAGATCATTCCACATAACAAAACACAACAAAAGAACTTAGATAATACTATGACAGGCTAAGATTTAATAAGCAACATCTTTTAAGAAGACAGAAAGGGAATTTTTTAAATATAAATTAGATAAACTTAATACTCTAAAGTGCTCTTTCCCACTTTAAAAAAAAAGTTTATTTATTTCAAGAGAGAAAAAGAGGGACCAGCAATTAGCGTAATGGCTATGTCACTAAACTCCCATGTAGCCAACTGGGGTTCGAGTCCCGGACCCGGTGGCTTAAATTCACACTAGGCCCATGTGTGTGCGTGCCCAAGATCCCAAGAGGAGAATGGAGGAAAAGGGATTGCAGCTTGGCCATCCCCCTGGGGGGTGATTTCTTGCTTTCTATCTCTCTGTCTCTCTCTGTCTTTCTGGCGAGCCCACGAGCCCTATAGCAAAAACCTCTCCCCCCACCCCCCCAAAAAAAAGAGAAAAGTGAGAAAGCCATGCTGGTTTCCTCCCTCTACTCTCTCAGCCAGCCAGGGTCACAGGTAAGCCTGGCATGTTCAGGTGGACCCAGGACTGGAAGCTAGGTCCTTTCATATGGCTCTAGCGTTATGAGGTGGCACCTTTCCACCTGTACCCACCATGGCTGGCTGCTCCCACTTTTTCATGTCCCTCTGCACAGCACATCAACATTCAAACACTCAAAATGTTCCACGTAAATACTATCGGCATTCTGAGACAAACATAAATGCTGATTTGGATTGTAGGGTAGTAGATAGTGTCTTAAGAGACAACTCCTTTAACCAGGAATTCCCATCCTAAAATCACAAGTACTTCTGGAATCTGCAGACTTACAGCAAATGGCCCCATGAATCTCTATGTGCACCACAGACTGTGTGTAAAGTGGCTAATGTTATTTTTACATAAACCGGATGCTACTCTAGAGTTTTGTTGTGACTTCTCGATGATAAAAACCATTTTGTGGCACTGTCATGAAATGGTTCAGGGACTGGGCTCTAGAGCTGGTTGCTAGGTACTAATCTAAGCATTTCTATTTAACAAACTAGATGTCATTCATTTAGCTTCTTTGTACTTCAGTTTCCTCATTTGTACAAGTGTGTCAATAACTGAATCTCCTTCATAGAGCTGTTCAGAGGTTTCAGCAAGTTAAAATACATAAACATTTAGAACAATGACTGGTATATTATTGTATGATATAAGTATATAAGTATCAACTATTTTATATATATATATATTCACAGTTAAATACATTTTTTTTTTCAGTTTTTAGTTTTTGCTATAGGGCGCATGTGCTCACCAGAGAAAGAGAGAGAGACAGAGAAAGGGAAAGCGAAAAACCACTCCCCAGGTGGGATGGCCATGCCACAATCCCTCTTCTTCTATTCTCCTTTTGTGACTCTGAGCACTTGTGCTCATGCACCCAGCATGATTTTCAAGCCATCGGGTCCAGGACTTGTACAGCAAAGTGATCCATATGGGATCCAGTACCTTAAGCTCCATGCCACCTTGTTGGCCCAGTTCAAACAGATTTTCAAGTTCAATGAGCACTTTCTGTGAGTCTGATGATTTAAACAAAGAAATATAAACATCATCTATTCTAAACATACTGGAAAATTCTCCCAGGGACTATTACAACATATTTGAAGTTGGAATCATTTTCATATGAGATATAACAAATGATTGGTTATAATACCATGCAATTGAGACATACCTAGTTGGCTGGGAAACCAGGGCATCTTTATGGATTTGGTAACATGGATAAACATTGAAGGTACCAGGCTCCATAGAAACCCCTTCCACTGATGAAAAATCTTTTTCAACTAGACCGAACATTTCCATCATCTTAAAACCTAAATAAATAAGCAAAAGCAAAAAAAAAAAAAAAAAAAAAAAAAAAAAAAAAAAAAAAAAAAAAAACAAAAACAAAAAAAAAAAAAAAAAAAAAAAAAAAGTGAAAAAAATTAAACAGTACTTTAGGGTTTAAAATGTTGAAATTTAGCTCTTAAGGATTTAAAAACAAAAATCTGTACTCCCAGTGAAAGTCATGTAATATATCAGCATTTGGAAAAATGATGATAATGCATACCTGCAATATCAATGCCGTCCTTGTGCACCAATGGGCAGGCTGAAAACAAAACAAACAGTATAAAACCCTAATTTAAATATTTTCCAAACATAGTCTCTCTTCGTCCTGAGAACAAAAAACTAATATAATCATTATGGAAGTCAATTATGGAAAGAATCGTAATCAGATGTGTCTATTACTTTCTGTGGTTTTGTATAAATGAAATCTTCTAAAGTCTCTTATTAAAAGCAAAGGACCACAGTGTCCTTCTCTCCAAGACCATTCAAATAAATGGCTATCACCAGAGAACGTGTGCTGGGGGTATCTCATATCTAATATTCTAATTGCTCTACTGGGCAGTCTTCATACATTTTCAAGGCTCTTTGCTACACCTGTTTGAGTATAGTTACTCTTAAATATAGGTGCTCATCTGATTAGGGAAGGTCTTCATCAACCTAAAACTCTGAACAGAGAGGAAAGGAGGCTCACTCCCCTGTGTTCCATAAAATTTAATGTCTACATCAAAAACAGCTATAGATGTAGATGGTCTTTCCTCTGATCAAGATGGGACCCGCTATTTAACCAGCTTAGATAGTTCAACCTTTGAATCACCCAAGTATAAATCCCAAAGAACTAACTTGCTGATGCAGTTTCACAGACAAAAGTAATGAGCTCATCTTCAATTTTCTTAAAGGCGTCAAAGTCATCCACAAAGAAGACGTGGCGTGCACTGGGCTTGCTGCCAATGCTAACCAGCTCCGAGTAATCCGCATCAGCCACACCAATTGCAAAAATGCTGTAGCCTGTGGCAGAAGGGGAACAGAGTTTGGATTGTGCTAAATTGCACAAAATACAAATATTACAAGACATGTCCAAATGTTTAAAATAGGTTTGTTTAGGAAGGCCCATGCGGGTGGGTAATTCATTCTTTACAGTTCATCAGTATCGTACATGCCCATATTTCATGATGTGATAATTATTCCATCATCCCCTAAAGAAAGTTTCCATTTTAAAGAAACTCAAGAAGGCCCATGCCCCAATTAGTGACTGAGACCAAATAGTTCCTATTGGAGCAGCCTCTTTACAGCTGCACGTTTTTAATAGTTATTCTAATATTTGTGGGATGAAGCATAGTTGAAACAGACATTGAATTTATTTTTTTTATTTGCTTTAATTCATGATAGTGAGTGTGAGAGGAGAAAAGCACCATTGACAAGGTCTCTCCTCATGCCCTGATCCCCCTTCCCCAGCTCTCCAGTTTTTTTTTTTTTTTTTTTTTTTTAAGAGGTTTTAGCTATAGGGCGCATGCACTCGCCAGACAGAGAGAGACATAGAGACAGAAAGCGAGAAATCACGCCCCAGGGGGTATGGTCACGCTGCAATCCCTTCTCCTCCATTCTCCTCTTGGGATCTTGGGCACGCACATGCGCCCGGCTGAGTTTTAAGTCACCGGGTCCGGGATGTGAACCACAGTCGACTACGTGGGAGTCCAGCGACATAGCCATTATGCTAACTGCTGGTTCCCAAAAGGTAATTAATTTATGAATTCACAAGTGTTAATGATTGTTTGTGGCGGTAAAAAGTTGTTTCCGCCCGGTTTCAAACCCGGGACCTTTCGCGTGTTAGGCGAATGTGATAACCACTACACTACAGAAACCTTGGTCCCAGCTCTCCCCTTTGTCAGGATTTTCAAGACGATCCATGAATCTGACCCTAAGATCAGCCATGGGGCAGTTCAGCCGGCCATTGACTGCACCATCAGACTGGGCCTCAGCTTTTGGTTTTTGTTTTTGCTTTTTTCCAGAAGTAGAAATGGACATATTAATAAGCCAAGCAACCTAAGGTGGGTCACCATGTAATGTTTGGCAAATAAATATTGAATTACTATTTATCAGGCACGTATTATATTATAATCTTTGCGTCAGTTCTGTGAGACTCTCTATTTCACATGTAGGAGACTAAAGAGTTTCCATAATGACATTCTCTTTGTGGACCTTTAAAATAGTCCTTTTCATAGCATCAGACTTAATTGTAGGAGTTCATTATACAAGGCATCCTGCATGTAACAAAAGCATTAGAGAAAATAGTAAATTTATCGTTAAAGAAATAAATTTATTATTTTTTCTAATAAAAAATTTTAATAATTTCTAATAACTACAGATTCCTAAACCAGAAGGTATTTTTAAAAATCTCATAGTCCAGGGCCAGCAGGTAGTGTGGAGGTTAGGACACTGGACTCCCACATGGTCAACTACAGTTCAAGTCTCAGACCTGGTAGCTTGAAATTCACACTGAGCACATGTGCACGAATGCCCAAAATCCTGAAAGGAGAGTAGAGGAGAAGGGACTGTCATGTGGCCATGCCCCCAGGTGGTGATTTCTCACTTTTTCTCTCTCTGTCTCTCTCTCTGTTGATTTCACATGCCCTATGCAAAACCTTAAAAAAAATAGTCCAGTTAATATTAAGACTTAGAAATGTTTAAGTAGTGCTTATATATCCTATACATTGCATTTAGAAAACAACAATGCTAATGTTATTACTGGTAGTCACTATTATTTTATAGATATAAAGATATAGATATAGATATAGATACAGATATAGATATAGATATCTTACCTTCTAATTGCATCTCCCTGGAGATTTTGGTCACATCATCTTGTGATCTTCCATCAGTTATAACCACAATAACCTTTGGGATGCCTCTTCTTGTACCTGACTCTGCATTAAATAGGGTATCTCGAACATGCTTAATTGCTTTTCCTGAAACAAGGGAAGGTAACGGTTCAGTTTCACTCCCACTCATTTTTGTTTCATTGCAGAGGTGAAGGTGTGAACAAAGTTCTTAAATCAATGAAAAAAGTTTCTAAAAATTATGATGTCTCTAAAAAAAAAGTCATTTAGCAGTTACTACTAACTACTTTGTGCCTTAGCTGGGTTTTTAAAAACTCTTACCTGTTTTTGTATTTCCTCCTTTGTATGAAATGTGTTTAATTGCATCAAGAAGAGTCTCTTTGGTTTTGTAAGCATTTAGTTTAAATTCTGTTCTGGGGTCATCGGTGAACTGAACCATTGCCACCTGGAGAGAGAAGGTGTGTTCATTTTAGCATGCGTGTAGCTTTCCACTGGGTCAGAAAGCACATACAATAGCATGTTATTATCGGCAGGATTAATTTTTTTCCTTAACTCATTCCACAATTTCCTTAGGTTACAATTTCATTCAAATTACATACTAAATTTGAAGATAAATTAAATAGTATCTTTTCTCTATGTACTTTTAGTACATGAAAAAACTCTCTCTAAAGCATATGAAAATTTTGCCACCCCATTTGACAGATGAAAAAAATGACAGCCTAAACCTAGTAACTTGACAAATGTAAGAGAATCAAAGTTGGATTATTTAAAAGAATTTCCTTATGAAGCAAACCTAGGAATTAGTTTCTGTTATTCTGCCCATTTCATATGAAGACACTGAGACACAGGAAGTCAAGCAACTTGCACAAGATTTCAAGTCAGCTACTGAGAGGGCCAACAGTTGAAGCCTGGTACATTCTATCACAAAATCTGCGTGCTCACTCACTGTAATCTAAAAATTCCTACTTTTGGGTCCAGCAGATGGTATAGAGTTTATATCACTAGACTTCCACATGGCCAACCATAATTTCAGTCCTAGGTGGCTTGAAAATCATGCCAGGTGTGTGTGCATACGTGCCCAAGATCTTGGAAGGAGAATGGAGGAAAAGTGATGGAGGAGCAGCCATCCCCCACTGGAAGGTGATTTCTCACTTTCCCTCTCACTGTGTCTGTCTCGCTCTCTTTCTCCCCCCAACCCTCTCAGCAAAAGCACATGTGTTCCTAAGGCAAAAAAAACTCTAAACAACAACAAAAAATTCCTACAATTTGCCTTTATTCCTATGGAACTTTGGGGCCATTTTTAATAAGAGCATTTTTGTTTGCTTTTTGGAACTATGTTAAAGGGAATAAAGCGAGTTCTCAGAGTGTGCTCTTTGTTTAGGTGAACTCTCAACTGCCATGCTAGTTGATCAAAGTTAACTTCATATGTTGCTATCTTTAGGAAACCTTCTCTGATTTTTCCATTCAAAAGAAAGTTCTTTCTCCCTGACATACCTCAGCACTGAATTCTTCTCTAATGGTACTCCTTACACCTAAAGTCTCATAGCCATTCCTCCACGATCTATTACATATCTGTTCATTTCAGTTCATCTCACTGCTACACCTCAGAAGGTACCACCACCTCTTCTCCAGGCCCAGAGATCACCTTTCTATCTCCGCTTTCAATCTTCTCCTTATTAGTATTCATGCTTCACAAAGCGGTCAGAATAATCTCTTTTCAGATCTTTTGCCTTCTCTCTTTTACACTTTCAGTGGCTTCCAATTGCATTTATGATGATACACAATTCTTGTGATGGCCCACCATGCTTAGAATAATATGATTTTCCCTTCCATCTTATAACCCTTCTCCTACCCCACAGTCTCACCCACCATCTTCCAGCCATAAGTTTTGGCATATTAAAACTCATTCTCCTAAGTCCTTTGGACTTCCTATTTCTCTGTGTAGAAATTCTACTCTCAGATATCCTCTGCACCATTTATATCTCAGTTCAAAAGCCACCTCCTCAAAGAGGGCTTTGCTAACCACATGATTTAAATCATGTTCCTCTGTTCTTCTTTTTCTTTTTTTTTTTTTTAGAGGTTTTTGCTATAGGGCACGTGCGCTCGCCAGAAAGACAGAGAGAGATAGAGAGATAGAAAGCAAGAAATCACCCCCCAGGAGGGATGGCCACGCCGCAATCCCTTCTCCTCCATTCTCCTCTTGGGATTTTGGGCATGCACACACACCCAGCATGAGTTTAAGCCACCAGGTCCAGGACTCAAACCACGGTCAGCTACATGGGAGTTTAGTGACATAGCCATTACTCTAACTGCTGGTCCCATGTTTTTCTGTTTTTATAGTTCACCTCCATGCATTGTGACTTTGCTTGCTTGTTAACATCTGTCTCTCTCCTTCTTCTCCCTGCCTTTAAATTAGGGACACTGGTTGACATTCATTATGACAGTATAATGCATGGCCATAACAAATTCTCCATAAATATTTATTGAATGAATGAATTACTTCTGCTTCATCTAAAGTAATGTGTACCATAACCTCTCCCTTTCAAAACTTCAATGTTCTCAAGGGCAGGGGAAATATTGCGTGTATCATTAAAGGAGACACTCTTCCTAGTATGTAAGACAGACATCCCTTGATGTGGCCTTTATACCCTGTTATAATCTGTTAAACTCAACAGCCTGTAAAGATGCCTTGAAGGATTAGCATTCTCTCTATCAGAAACCAGTAAGCTGCTTCCAAATGCACACTTGTTTATTCCCTCATTGAAAGTTGTATCTGATCATTGTAGCTTTTTACCTATATGCCCTGATAGATACCCATAATAAGAGTTGATGTGTAATTTTCAAACACATAGAATGAATTAGTGATTGATCTGTTAACCTTACTTGAGTTCCATCTGCACCAATCTTGTCCAGGGCTCCAACAGTGCTATACAGAAAGTTGATGATCTTGTTGAAATTATCATCTCCAATACTCCAGGATCCATCCACCATGAACACCAGGTCTGCCTTGGCTGCTTTACATACTGTGGACCAAGAACAAATTTTGTATCAAAGAAGGGGAAAACATTTATTAAACTAGTGAGACAGATAATGGTTTTCCTCTGGAAATCAAAGCTCATTCCCCAAGCACTGGTGTAAATCTGTTAAGGTTCATATTATAAGCTCTTTCTCGTTATTCTTCGCCACCATCATTTCTCTGCTACCCAATGTTCCTACTCATGACTAGAAAGCACCTATTGGGCATGTAGAAATAGAGAGAAGAAATGTTCACCAATTTTAGCCCAAAAGAATGAAAATGGAGGAATAAGAAAATGTGGGGTCTGAGAGATTCAGAAGCAAAAGCATCAACAAATACTGCAGACTGGAAGGAAGACCAAGATATCCCTATGTGCACCCTGTCCTCTGCTTATTGAGTTAGTAGGTTAATGTCATAGAGATTCAACCTCAGAATGAAGGTATGTGATACAATCAAATTAGATTAATTTGCAATTCCATTTGGTTGAGACCATAGCAAACTCTAATTTCAGCCTTTCTCATAAATTCTTTCTATGTCCACCTACTATCCATTGATACATACCAAGAAATGTACACTAATGCTAACCCAGGGAAAGTACTATCAGGTGGTATTATGGATAGCAACACAATCAAGCAAAATAAATAAAAACAAAGTGAAAATGCAACAAAAACCTACTCCATTGAAAGTGTTTTTCGTAAGTCCTTTTTTGGTATCATATGCTGTTTTAGATTATCTGTGCTTCTCTATCCCTTCATTAGAATAGATCATTGTAGTTGACTCTAATTTATGAGGAAACAAATGATTTTCTGATGAAAAATTGTGGTTGACTCTGTTTTATGATAAAACAGGTGATATCTTCGATAATCTGAATCTTTTCATCTTAGGCCAGTTAAGCACAAATACTCTATGAGATAATGTGCCTTTCTCCTTTACAAAAAAATGACTTGGCTTTTGTTTTTATTAAATGCAAAATAATTTTTGTAAAGCTATTCATAATGCAAAATAAATCACCTCCAAGAGAGGTAATACTCTAGGGACAATGGGAATTGGTAAGGTTGTTCTCCTGAGTTCTGTGACTTATGAAATTTTTCAAAATTGTAGTTTGGACTTAAGGGTGAAAGGGATCAAAAAATATGCTAATTATAAATTTATAAAAGAAAACCAGGTCCTCTGTTTCAAAGGAAAAATAAAATTAAGATTATATTTCTCCTTTGAAATGAGAGCAAAAAATTCTATTTAAAAATATACTTGGGGCCAACAGGTGGTATGGCCTTTAGGCACTGGACTGCCACCTGTCCCACCATGGCTTGAGTCTAGGACCTGGTGGCTTGCTTTCTCTTTCCCCACCCTCCCCTCCTTGCACAAACTCTGATAAGAGGGGAAGTTTCAGGGGCCAGCAGGTGTATGCTGGTTATGGCACTAAATCCTTCATGGCCAACTCTGCAGTTCGAGTCTCAACTTGGCAACTTCACAAACACTCTAGGCATGTGTGCATGCATACTCCAAAATCCCAATGGGAAAATGGAAGAGAAGAGATTGTAGCATGGCCCTCCTCCCCTATGGAGGGGAACAATTTCTCACTTTCTCTGTCTGTATCTCTCTCTGGTGAGCACACATGCCCTATAGCAAACTTAAAAATAGTAATAATAAATAAAATAAAATAATTTTTAAATATACTCAAAATAAAAAAGTTACTTAGTAAATCAAACAAAATAGATCAAAATACTTGAAAAGAATACCTCTGGAATATGATGCGTTTTTAATTTTCTTCTTTGATTTTTTTCTTTTTAATATTTTAAAATAAATATTCAGCATTATTTTAGTATTAAATTTAATAGACTTTTAAATTAAATACACCCAGGGCAAATAGAGCCTAAAATAGTTCATTGAAGTTGTGAAAGTCCCATCATCTAAAACTATCATGACAAAACTTTACAACCAGTGTTTCCATTTTGTCATTCTTTACTCCCACAGACTCTTCTAAATTGCTTCCAGGATCACTCATGAGTGTTTACTAAATGACATCCATGCTCAGCTTAAATAATATTCTGACCTCCAAATATTCTGTAGTATCTGCATCACAAATGCCTAATAGAAAATGCATCAATTAGGATTCTGTTTCTTTTCCTATGGTGACAAAAGTCATAGATATTGAGACTAGAGAAGATTAGATAGAAAGTGGAAGAAGAGTTTGGCAGTCTAGGCAGAGGGAATATCATTAAAACATGCAGGACAGCATAAGACATATATGGGGAACCCTGAGTTAAAAATCTTAATAACATAGTCTACATGAAGATGCTGCAAAGTAGGTTGACCAATAAAGACTTTACAGGCCACACTAGGATGGATGTGGAGCTTCAGCTGAGGTTCTTGTTGGCTCTGTTTCCTGACCTTGGCTCTTCCATGCTCTGCAGTATCTGATCCCATTAACTTCAAGGCTCTATGCGGCAAGAACTTTTTTTTATTATTATTGTATCCCTAGTATATGAGAAACACTTAAAAGTGCATGATGAATAGAACTCTTCCAACTACGTGTTCTAACTCTCTCTAGTTCACCCTTTTTCCAGTTCATCTTCTCCATTCCACCAAAGTTACCTTTCTAAAACATAGATTTCACCAGATCACTTTCCCTTCATACTAATTTATTGTGGCATGCCATTTCATACAAGACAAATCCCTAACTCTTTATTCTGGCACACAAATCAATTTAAAACTCTGTGCTCACTCTTTTTTCTGTGTCACACTAGAGCATTAATGGTTCTTCAAATGCATTATGCACTGAGATCACTGTACAATGCTGGAAGAAAGTAACTGTGGCATGACTAGACCCTGCTAAAGGTGCTTCCTCTCCTCTTTGTTTCTCTTTCTCTCTTGTGTATATGTACACATATAACATATATACATATTCTGTACATAAATAATAATTTTGGGGTTTTTTTAGAGTGATTTTTGCTATATGGCATGTGCACTCACCAGAGAGACACAGAGATAGAAAGCAAGAATCACCCCATGGGGGGATTGCAATGCTGCAATCCCTTCTCCTCCATTCTCCTCTTGGAATTTTGGGCATGCATGCACACATTCCTGGCATGAGCTTTAAGCCACCAAGTCTGAGACTTGAACCAAAGTCGACTATGTGGAAATTCAGTGATGTAACCATTATACCAGCTGCTGGTCCCCAATAATATTTTTTAAATATAAATCAAATTCCTCCTCCCTCTTAAGTCATTAATCTGCAATTACATTTACCATTCCGATTTCTGGAACACTACAGCATGATCTGTGTATTTTAACCCATATCTTTGACTGGTAACTATGAATGCAAGCAGCTATTTCTTTTGCAATGCTGAAAATAAGCAGAGAGCAGCAATCATACACTATTATTGTTTTCCTCAGGCCTACTATAAGAACTTTGAGAGGTAAATAACAGGGCAAATAAATGTTAATTAATGGAATTAAAACATCAACAATCACTATTTCACTGGGAAATTTAAAAAAAAATTATTAGCAGATCAGGTAAAAGGTGATGAGGAATTGCTATGATAAAGACAGAAAAAAAGAACAACTGGGAGAATGATTTCAGGTATCTTCTGGGAAACCATTACACTCATTTGCAGAATTATTAAAGTGGATTTTCACTCACAAATTATATAACTACTCTTCCTTTATAAACATTTACTGGGACCAGCAGTTGGCATAATGGCTATGTCACTGGATTGCCATGTAGTCGACCATGGTTTGAGTCCCAGACCCAGTGGCTTAAACTCAGGTCGGGCATATGTGCATCCATGCCCAAGATCCCGAAAGGAGAATGGAGGAGAAGGGATTGTAGTGTGGCCATACCCCCTGGGGGGTGATTTCTTGCTTTCTATCTCTCTGTCTTTCTGGCAAGTGCATGCACCCTAAAGAAAATAAAATCTCAAAAAAATGTATTAATTTTGTATTTTCAATGAAAACAATATTAAATAGCTCTGTTAAATATCCACTCTTGGGCCAGGTAGTGACATGGTGGTTAAGGCAACTGGATCCCTCGTGGCTGACTATGACGTTTGAGTCTTAAACTCGGCAGCTTGGAAAAAACACACTGGAAAACAAAAACAACTGAATATTTTTTTCTTTGCTGGAGGGAAGAGAAAAAAAGAAACTCATGCCAGGCACATGTGCACATGTGACCAATGTCTTGAAAGGAGAAAAGGAGGACTTTGACTTGGCCCCAAAGGGTTTCTCACTTTCCTTCTTTCTTTGATCTTTATCTTTCTCTGGTAAGTGCATGCACCTGTGGCAAACTTAAAAAAAAAAAAATCTACTCTTGGTGTTCAAGATTTATTAAGTGGAATCTTTTTAGAATTTTTTTTTCCTATAGGGCACATGTACTCACTGGAAAGACAGAGAGAGACAGAAAGTAAAAAAATCACTCCCCAGGGGGATGGCCACACTGCTATCCCTTCTCCTCCATTCTTCTCTCAGGATTTTGGGAATACATGCACATGCTCCCAGGGAGAGTTTTAACTGCCAGGCCCAGGACTAGAAACGTAGTGGACAATGTGTGTGCCTGGCAACATAACCATTATGCCATATGTTGGTCCCATTAAATGGATCTTTTTAAAGGTGATCACATCATGGTTTGATGAGCATTTGTACTAAGGAGAAAATTAGATGGCACAATAAAAGTCTTTTAGTAATACTTTACTTTTAAATGAATAAACAAACAAAACAGACAGAAATCTAAACCTAGAAGCACATCATTATTATATTATTCTCTTACCTTCTTTTGCTGGTGGAATGGTTGGAGGAAAAGTTGGTGGTTGAGTAGGAGGTGATTCTGTACAAAGGAGGAAGAAAGAACATCAATCAGTCATCTCATTTGGAGGAATAAAGGGAGAGAATGGAGGAATGATTATTCGGAGGGATCAAAGATTGTGACAGCTGTCTTTTTGAAAATATAATGACTACTATAAATCAGCCAGAGTCTGTGAAAACTGACTTCATCTATTCAATATCTTTTCAACCTCGAACCATTTTGCCACAATTCAGTTTACCCAGCAAGAGTGAAAACAATCATACTGTCAACTACAAAGTGGTTCTAATGTTGATTTAAGGCAGGCACCATGCCAGCCCATTTCAGAGTTAGTTTCTGGTTGCTTTCACACATACAATAAACCTCATTTCTATTCTACCTAACTGAGGACCATCAATCCTTTTTCAATAGCAACCTCACCTTCTTGCCCTGCATCCCACCAGGATATTGGTCATCAGAGGAATTTCACTCCATTTTTATTCTGCTCAGACTGTATCTGGAAAATATCTCTGAGTTCTGAGGACTGAATGTAAATGTAGACAGGCTAGAATGCGTTCACATCTTTTCACCCTGGATAATGTGGGATGAGATCTCTCTGCACTATGCAGGAGTATAGTTTGGTTAAAGGACTCAGAAACAGATCAGAATATGATTCTTATCCTAGCTTCCTGGCAAACACCAGAAAAGTTACGGTGTTATTAGAAAAAAAAACACCAAGTATTATTCTGTTATGTATTAATTTGTTCTTCTTATTTTGTACTAAAGGATTAATAAAAATGATTTCAGTTTAGTATTTGGGAAACCCCTCTATTAATCATAGCCATTTATAGAGAGGGTGTCCTGCCTTAGGATGTAGTAAATGCCAAAAAGCTCGAAGGATTTGAACTCAGGCAGCGTGATCGTTTGCTGGGAATATTGCATAGGGAATCCCTTCATTGGCAGAACGGTTGGAAGAGACACATTTTAAAGTCTCTTTCAATTCAAAGATCCAAGTAGAGTTATTTAAATAAAATAATTCAGCATTGGGCCAGCATGGTGTGGTGGTTAAAGTGGCTGGATTCCACACAACCAATAGCACAATTCAAGTCTTGGACCTGATGACTTGAGAAATATACCAGACATGTGTGTCTGTGTAGCCAAAATCCCAAAAGTAGGGAAAATGAAGGAGAAGAGAATGTGGCATGACCATCCACCATGGTGGGTATGGGAGTTACTTTCTCACTTTCCTTCTCTCTTTCTCTGTCTTTCTCTGGTGAGTGCAAGCATCCTCTGGCAAAATTAAATAAATAAATAAAAATAGCATTACAAGAATGGGGTAATTGCATATTATTTACCTGAAAAAATATTCCAGGATGAACTATTACGTGATATAAGGCAAGTTGCAGAATGCTATGGCATTATCCCAATTGTGAATTTGAATTTCTTGAAAGAAACTAAGGTAGTAAAATGGTATTTCTTAAAAAGGAAGAAAGAGGAAGACTGATGATGCACTTTAAGCATTTCTATTGTACTATTATTAACATACGTCATTTTTCTTTTTTTTCTTCTTTTTTTTTTTTGAGAGTTTTTTGCTATAGGGCGCGGGCACTCGCCAGACAGACAGAGAGAGACAGAGAGACAGAAAGTGAGAAATCACCCCCCGGGGTGATAGCCACACCGCAATCCCTTCTCCTCCATTCTCCTCTTGGGATCTTGGGCACGCACACACACGTGCCCGGCATGAGTTTTAAGCCACTGGGTCCAGGATGTGAACCCGCGGTCGACTACGTGGGAGTCCAGCAACATAGCCATTACGCTAACTGCTGGTCCCCATTGTCATTTTCAACGGCAATTTTTTGAAGCTATAAAGTTTCAAGAGTTAAAAAAAGAGAGAGAGAAATCTTAGTATTAGAACTAGATTGCAAAACCTTCTTGAAAGCATCCCCAAATGCTTCCAAGAATACATCCCAGAGTCACTCATCTTAAAAATCTATGGAAGTAGCAGGTTGTTTTTATAATTGTGCATCTTATTTAATGTGGGAAATTAAGGCATATCCCAAGTTCAGTCAATAAATAAAAACCAAATCAATGAGAGGTCATGGTAGCTAAATCAATATGTTTGGCCATAACATCTGGCCAAAGAATCTCTTGGGAATAAATGAACCACAATGAACTGGTGACACATGTTTATATTCTGTATGTGGCATACAGATGGTCCCTATCTCAAATATGTGAGGGGCTGTCACACGGAAGAGGGAACAGTCTTGATCTGCATCGCTTCAGGAAGTTGGACTAGAGCCATTGGGTGGAAACTCCAAAAAGACAGATGTCTCCTACATGAGGAAAGCATTTGCATCAAACAGTGTTATCCAAAATGGAATTAATCCTAGGTTGGTAGTTAACAGTTTCAGAGTTAAGGTTAGGGAAAGTTGAAGAAGAGAGTCCTCTCAAACTCAAGTGTTCTAAGAGGTCAGGTAAGTAGTGAATATGAGCAAAGAACTTAACCTAAATATTAAGGAGCAGTTGCAAACTTGGGAACACATGCACTGTCCAAGGAGACAGCAGTTAATTGGTTCCAGCAGACTGGCACCAAGAGGGTAGATGGTTTCTATGTAGCAAAATCTTTTGAATTTTCCAAAAATACTTTAAAACTTAAAAATAGAAAGGGTGACTCAGAGAAAACATGTCTGAAAGTGAGATCTAGCCCCAAGTCAATTTGTAACTTTCAAGAAGATATTAACGATGATGACAAAAACTACTTGTTCTGGAGCACTC